TGCAGCTGGCGCTGGCGAGGACGTGCAGTTGCGGTACGGGGCGGACGGCCTTGCCTACACACTGTGGACGGAGCGCAACGCCGTCGCACAGCTTGCCGTCCGAGCTCACCTGCCGGTCGACCAGAAGGCCCACTTTTGTCAAGTGACGTCGGCTCAGACTTTGTTCGACGCTGTGGTTAGACAATACTCCTCCCTCTCTCCTACCACCCGGCCACTACGGCATCACCGTTAGCTGTTAGGGGAGGTGGAGCAGCTGGTCGAGGAGGCGAGTGTAGGCACCTGTGCGTCTTCTCCTGCAGGTGGTGCCGCTGGTGGAGGCGGAGGTTCCGGGTGTGGACAACAGCGGCAGCAGCCTCATCAGGAGACCCTCTCGACGCAGCAGCTTCGGGAGTGGGTTTCCCAGCGACGCGTCCCTAGTGGTTTAGAGGCTTCTAGTCTAGGTGCATGTGAGCCTGCTAGTACAGGTGCAGCCCATGCGAAGGCTTTGCACACCTTCACGCTTGACTCAGGCGCGTCTCGCTGCTTCTTCCGGACTGCACCACAGTCACGCCGCTCACTACACCTGTCTCGGTCACCCTGGCTGAACCCTCTGGGGGCCAAGTCATAGCACGTGCCTCCACCGTTCTCCCCTGTCCGGCAGCCCCTTCCGGCTCGATTGCAGGTCTCCACCTCCCCTCGTTCACTACGAACTTGGTGAGTAACGATGTCCTCCAGGACCAGTTGATCACCACTACTACTCCTATGGGTGAGCTTGTGGCTATCTATACAGACTCACGGACTGGCCCCCACCTTGCCACGTTCAGTCGGAGACCCGGGTCTAGCCTGTACACACTAAACACTGAGTCCGCACATGTGGCTGCGTCCTGTCCGGTAGCTGCGTCTTGCGCGTGTCGGGTACTCACCCACCCGTCTCCTCAGGCACCACCGTCTGGGTCACCCCTCCCTACCGCGTCTGCGTAGCATGCAATCCCGTCTCCTTGTCTCTGGCCTCCCGAGGTCCCTGCCCCCGCTCCCTCGGTCGCTTGCACCACCGTGCCTTCCATGCGTCGAGGGGCGGCAGCGCGTCGCACCTCACTCCTCCTCGTTTCCTCCGACCACCACTCCTCTGCAGACTCTCCACATGGACGTGTGGGGCCCCGCCCGCGTCAGTCGACTGGACAAAGATCGCTAATTTCTACTGGTTGTTGACGAGTACACGCTCTACACCACGGTCTTCCCCTTGCAAAGCAATGGCGGGTGTCCGCAATGTCTTGATCCCTTAGATCGATGCTGTCCGTCGCCAGCTGCGCGCCCGGTTCCAGCAGGACCGAATGCACTTTGACCGAGGTGGTGAGTTTTCCTCCCGCCTCCTTGAGGACTTCTATCGTGAGAAGGGCATCGTCCAGTCGTTCACGCTTTCGGCCTCTCCACAGCAGAATGGGATTGGTGAGCGATGCATTGGCTTGGTCATGGAGGTTGCTCGCACCTCCATGATCCATGCGGCTGCTCCCCATTTTCTGTGGCCGTTTGCGGTCCGATACGCCGCGCATCAGCTCAACCTCTGGCCCCGTGTCTCCGTGCCAGAGACCTCATCTTCACAGCGTTGGACGGGGGAGGTTGGTGATGCGTCGGTGTTTCGGGTCTGGGGTTCGTATCCCCTTGTCCGCGATACCACCGCGGACAAGCTCTCTTCTCGCACCGTTCGCTGCGTCTTCCTTGGATTTCCCACCGACGCGCCTGGCTGGAAGTTTTACCACCCAGCCTCGCGTCGCGTCCTGTCGACGAGTCGGTTTGCTACTACCGTCTCTTCCCCCACAGCACTTCTCCCCCCTCCCCCTCCCCGCCTCTCTTCCTAGTCCCTGGTCCTCCCCCGGTAGACCCTCTCCCCCCAGAGGGTCATGGTCCCTCAGGTGTGTCTCAGGTTGACCCGCCCCCCTTGGTTGAGCCTTTGGAGGTCTCCTCTCACACCTCTGGCCCAACTGAGCGGGGTGACCATGCTGCTGACGACACAGCGGCCACTCGCTGCTCACCGCGCTTTGAGACCCCTCCTGGTTTTCCGCCTCGGCCGTCTTCGCCGCCTCTGCAGCCTGTCGTTGTAGACTCTGGTGCTGCTGAGGGTGGTGACGCTGGAGGTGCGGACTCTACGGGTGCTGGTCCTGGGGTGCTGACTCTGGAGGTGTTGGTTATGAGGGTGCTGAGTCTAGAGTTGCTGGTTCTGGGGGTGCTGAGCATCCTAGTGGTGGTGGTGTCGTGGGTACTCCTGCTGGAGGTTCTGGGGGTGGACAGCAGCAGCTCTCTCGTCGGCAGGAGACTCTCTCGCTGTAGTAGCTTCGCGAGTGGGTTATTCGGCGAGGCCGCTCGGGTGCTCGAGCTGGAGGCGCTGGTGCTGGAGGTGCTGGTGCTGGAGGTACTGGAGCTGCTGGTGCTGGAGGTACTAGAGCTGGAGGTGCTGGAGCTGCTGGTGCTGGAGGTACTGGAGCTCGAGGTGCTGGTACTAGAGGTGCTGGTGCTGGAGGTGCTGGTGCCGGAGGTGCTGGTGCCGGAGGTGCTGGTGCCGGAGGTGCTGGTGCTGGAGGTGCTGGTGCTGGAGGTGCTGGTGCTGGAGGTGCTGGAGCTGGCGGTACTGGAGGTACTGGAGGTGTTGGTGCTGGAGGTACTACGCAGCAGCAACCGATTTTCTTGCATCAGCCGCAATCGTCACTGCCACCACCTGGCTCGGCGCTCCACCAGGTTCTTAGTCTTCCGTCCTCCACTGGCCTTACTCCACCTCTCCTGTGTCGTCCGCCTGACACGTCACAGCCGCAGCTACAGCATGACTCCCCACTGCTTGCTCCTTCTCCTTACACTGAGCAGACAGACTCCCTGACACACCGTCGTGAGCCTGCGTCTCATCCTGCCTCGCCTGTTTGCACTGTTCGCACTAGTCGTCGTGTTCCTCGTATTCGTCCTCCACCAGTACCCAACACTCACACTATGGGACTTCGTCCTTCCTCTGTTCCACACCGTGTTACCCTGCCGTCTCCTCCGACGTCCTCTCTTCCTGGCGTTCCTGACCCTGAGTCTGGCCTTGCGCGTGCTGCTAGTCCTACTGTCACACGTCTCCTGGCCACAGTTGTCACTGACCCTACTTTTGAGTCTACTGCTGCGTCTGCCTTAGTCGCTGAGCTCGTTGACTTTGCTGCTACCTGTCGTCTTGACTACTTCGCGAGTCTTGTTACTGAGTCTGAGTCAGATTGTCCCACGCCCGTCACTGTTTTTGCACACGCGACCGTGCTCTGCCACCGTTCTACATCCTCGTGTACGTCGACGACTTGGTCTTTGTTACTGCTGACACTGAGGCACTGGCCCTTGAAAGCGAAGCTGCTCAAGAGACACACTGCACTGGCCTGGGTGTGCTGCGCAGCTATCTTGGATTGCAGATCACCGGGACAGAGCACGGCGCACCATCACTCTGACTCAGTCACACATGGTGCACCAGGTCGTTCGGCGCTTAGGCTTCCCGTTCTCCTCGCCACAGGCCACTCCTCTGCCTACTGGCCACTAGCTCTCAGCTCCACCTTTGGACGAGTCCGTAGAGCCGAGTGGTAAGTATCCAGAGCTTGTGGGCTGCCTCAGATGACTTGTACTCGACCTGACCTCGCATACCCTCTCAGCATCCTGGCACGCTACGGTGCGCCTGGGAGACACCGACCAGAGCACTGGCGGGCTGCTAGGAGGGTGCTGCGTTACTTGTGAAGTACATTGAGCATGGGGCTTGTGCTTGGGTCGAGTTGTACTCACTGGACACTCAGATGCTGCTACCAGGCGACTCAGCGGTCGTCAGAGGGTTACACTTGCAGTCTCGGTGCTGGTTTTGTCTCCTGGAGGTCCACCTGTTGTCTTCTGTTCTCAGCTCCAGTTGTGAGGCTGAGATCTACGCAGGGGCCATGGCTGCACAGGAGTTATGCTGGCTTCGTCTTGCTTACGTGGCCTCACAGGCCAACACTGCTGATATCTTCACCAAGTCTCTATGGTCTGGTGATCATCAGCGCTTCTGCGATGCTCTTGGTCTTGTGCCTACTCTGCCTCACTTGCTTACTTAGTCACTTTGCCTTGTACTGTGATCTATGTATATATATATACCTTCATGCTTACTTTGCTAGGTTGTGATCACTGTACTACTTGCGCTTTCTATAACTCTGCATGTGAACTGGCCTTGTGACCATTGCTTGCTCTGGCTATCCCCCACTTCGCCTACGTGGGTGTTTCAAAACATTAAGGTTTATATGTATGTAGGCTATATACCGAATTCCCCCGGATAAAAGACCCTAGGGTCTTTTATTGATTTCATAAAAAATATGGGGGGTCTATATAAATGGTACAAATCTTTTAAGACCCGGGTATTAAGATATGGTATGTATTATTACAGCTGTAATGAATTGCAGTCATGTAGGAATTGAGTGCTCCGTTTAAAGAACGCACAATACCCACGCGAATGGGTTTCCACCATTGGCATGCATTATCAACCAGGAATCCGAATGTGGCCTTCTGATTGGCCACATTCTTTGGTTAGCAGCGCGCTCGGGGGTGGGGTGATTGAAGTGTACCACGTCTACTGCACCGTGTCAGGCCGACTCGAAAGTCGCACACCGTTTTTTACTTCGGGAAAACGTAAAAACAATTAAAAAATAATGATTATAATGATTTCACCCCAAAAGGGGGGTATATAAAAAACATACGGTACCGTAATAATATACCCCCCCCCCCCCCCCCCCCCCCTCCCCCCGTATTAAAGACCCGGGTACATTGTTATGGGGGGGTGTTTTATCCGGGGGAATACGGTAGGGGCTAGCCTTAGGGGGTACACAAAATATCTCTGGTCACTGTCATGTATCCCCCTCCTTGACCTAATGAGCCATTCCCCTCTAAGATTCTAACAGCATGAACCCGCTTAGCTCGAGCCGTAATAACTTCTCCATCGCTTTTCGAGGAAGGTTTGAGGTTGGTCATATTACTGTAGCTGGTCCCCGAGCCTGAGCTTGATGTGCCAGCCGAACAGGTTCCTTTTCCGCAACCCAAATTATGGTGCTGGGTGGGTGAGAGGGGGTAGAGGGGGGAGAGGAGGGGAGGAAGAGGAAGACGAGGAGGATGAGGAGGACGAGGAGGACGAGAAGGATGAGAAGGTGGATGATAAGGAGGATGGAGATGGGAGGAAGGAGGGGAAGGATAAGGGTGCTAAGGTTGAAGGGAAAGTTGAGGGACAAGGGAAGAGCACCAGACGTGGGCAGTGGGGAAGGGGGGGGGGTCACATCACAGGAGGCAGGCGAAGATGAGTAAAGTGCATGCAGGCATCTGAGTGAGCCAGTGTACAGATTTCTGCAGGATTGCAGGCCTGGAGATGCCACCTGGGTACTACCAGGCCTTCACTTAGTCGGACAATGGTTCAATTACCGTCTAACCCCGGATATAAGCGCCACGGCGCTTATAATAAAACATGTTTTTTTGGGGTGGCGCTTGTAATTGAATAACGGCCATAAGCGCCGGAGCTTATATCATGGCAAAAATGAATTTGTATTTTTTTTTGTATCAAATCGAAGCACGTAATAAGGCGAACAAGATTGTGTAACGTGCGCGTGGCATCATGCATGAAAACCCGCCGAAAACTGCCGCGCTTCGGTTTCCAGCCGCACAAAGCCCGTCCAGGAGCAGCGCACCTGCCAGCGCTGACGTGAAAGATGCCTTGCGGCCCAATCAGGCTTTCATGCGCTGGGTGGCAGCTGCAATTCACCCGAACCATCTAGAAGCGGCTGGAATGCCCTGCCAGCGCAGCATCGTGCGTGGCGCGATGCCCTCCTCTCCGGGTTCAGACAGGGGACACCCGTCTCTCCACGACGAGGACCCCGTGGCGCTAGCCAGAAGGGGTCCCTTTGAATCCTTCATTTGTTCATCCATTCATTCAGTTTACCGTTCTTGGTTCTTGGCCACTCTCGTCATGCTGCGGAAGCCATGGCGGAATTCAGCGGCACGCACTTCTTGTTCAAGAAAAAGCCTACGCGCAAGCCCGCGTTTAGAGTAGACGCAGACGGGTGGTACTCCCGTGTCCCACCATCACCACCAGAGCCACCACAGCCTCCTGCGCCTCCTGCGCCTCCTGCTCCTCCTTCGCCTCCTGCACCTCCTGAGCCTCCTCTTCCTCTTGTTCCCTTGTCTACTCAGGGTCTTGTGCCTCCGCTACATGCTGGAGCTGAGCCCGTGCTCACGCTGCTGCTCCCATCGGCGTTTGACGAATGGATCTCCGAACCAGAGTCTGACAAGGCGCAAGATGAGGAGGTCGAAGTGGAGTACGTGCCTGGTTCACGGTGGGGACAGCCCGACGATTGCCCGTGGGACGAATCTGCAGTCGGCGCCGACGATGATGTTGCTGAGGAAGCTGATGCTGACGCTGAGGAAGCGAGCGGCGCTTACGCCGGCGAGGGTGGCACGGAGGCGAGCGCCGGGGGCGGCGCCGAGGGCGGCTCCGCTGAAGTTGTTTTTCCAGAAGGCGTTCCCGGCGACGATGCCGACGACGGCGTGGAGTACTGGTCTCGCGACGGGCTTCCCAAGACCTTGCCGATACCTTCCTATCCCCCGATCAATCGCAAGCGACCCCACCCCTCTACCCAGAACCGTGATGCCCGCCCCCCCTCTCCCAGGCACAAGCTCACCGACCACAAGAGGCATGGTTACACCGCCGCGGAGAAGTTGAAGTGGGTTGCCAAGCTTGCTTTGGCGGTGTCGGTGCGCCAATTGGCTCGCGAGAGCGGAATCCACCCCAAGTGCCTCACCAACTGGAAGCGGGCGTCTGAATTCCTCAAGGAAGTTCACTCCGCTCGGAAGCGCATGCACGGCCGCGGGCGAGCGTCGTGGTACCGGCCTATGGAGTTGAAGGTGTACGAGAAACTTCTCGAGTGGCGCCGCAAGGGAACCGCCGTATCAGTCGGCCGCCTGCAGGAGTGGTCGCGGGAGTACATGAGGCTGCTGTACCCGGACAAGCCGTGGAAAGGAAGCCAGAGGTGGTCGCAGCGCTTTCGGCGTCGATGGAATCTGAGCGTCCGCATGAAGACCCGGGTTGCCCAGAAAACCGCCGCGCGTAAGAGTTACCCCGTGTACTTTGCCCTGTGATTTTTAAATTGTTGTACTAACACACGCCATGTGTGTCCGTCCTCCCTTCCACCGCCCTTCAGATGTCGCCGAGCAGTGCAAGAGCTTCTGGAAGTTCGTGCGTGCCAAGCGTCGTGAGCGCGGCATCGACACCGCGTGGATCATCAACGCGGACCAGACGCCGCTCTGGCTGGAGATGCCCGCCACCACCACCGTGGATGAAACGGGTGTTCGCTCGGTGCCTATCAGGAGCGCGGGCTATCAGAAGCAGCATGTAACCGTGATGTTGGCGTGCACGCCGGACGGATTGAAGCTGAAGCCGTGGGTGTACTTCAAGCACATGACCGTGCCTAAGGGCAATTTCCCACCCGATAAGTCAATACGGTAGGTGCACTGCTCGTTAACTGCGCCATGCTTCCGACTGCGAATTCTAACTGGTCGAACATGATTCCTGCAGATGTGGTTGTGGCTGCACAAGAGAACGGGTGGATGGAATCCGCGGGCGTCGTTCGCTGGCTTGAGGAGGGCGTCAAGCCTTTCTTGAAGCCCAAGTTCGGCAGACACGCCAAGAGCTCGATGCTGGTGCTGGACTCTTACCGCGGTCACCTCACCCAGGAAGTGAAGGACAAGCTCCGCGAGATGAACTGCGTGCCGGCAATCATCCCGTCGGGCTGTACAGCGGAGGTACAGCCGCTAGATGTCTCCATCAACAAGAGCTTTAAAGCGTCGGTCCGCCAGCAGTACCAGAGGTGGTTTGAGGCAGAAGGTCAAGAGCAGCTGACGGCAGCAGGTATGGAATGAGCACGGTATTGTGTTTACCCCCCCCCCTCCCCTTGTTTACGGTATCTTTTGTTGTTGGACTAACGGGTTTCCACCGTTCTCCCGTAATGTTTCAGGTAATTTGAAGAAGCCGCCTGCGGAGGTCGTCCTGAGGTGGATATCTCAGGCCTGGAAGTCAGTGCCGGCCGAGCTGATAAAGCGATCCTTCCTCACCTGTGGCATCAGCAACGCGCTCGACGGCAGTGAGGACGGCCTCGCCATGGCGCACAGGCGGAGCCAGCTGACAGCGGAAGCAGGGCTAATTTTTGGTTTTTGCCAACCCTTACGATCAGTGTTGCACATGTTCAAAACCCTGATTATCAGTGTGACCCCTTGTGGGAAAACTGATTCATCAGGGTTTCTGCTTAGTTTGAATATTCAACCCTGAGGCATCAGTGTACAATGTTCTCGAACCCTGCTGAAATTGTCATTAACAGAGCACACAATAACAAATTTACAGTTTCGACAGTTGGCAATCGGGAATCCCGGGTTACGGTGTAGGGGGGTTAGGGGAAGGGGGGGGGGGAGGGGGGGGAGGGGGGGGGGGGGGAGCGGGGGGTGGCTGGTACTCGCTTCAGGGTAAAACTCGCTAAGAGAATCGGGAACACTGAGGCGACAGTGTGCCTTATTCGTAAACCCTGGCACATCAGGGAAAATCAAGGTCCCAAAATAAATACCCTACGGCATCAGTGTTACACCCAAAAACCACCCTGATAATCAGGGTATCAGGGTGATTTACCCTGATAAAATAGGGCCTGAGCGGAAGTGGATGTCGACGATGACATCATCGCTGATGGGTTTTTTGGGAACAACTGCGAGGAGCCCGAATCTGACGATGAGTAGACTTGTTAGGTAGAAGTGATGTTGCTAGACTTGCTGATTCGGGTCACTGATGTTGTAGCTGCTGTATAGAAGTGTCATGTAAGTGATTTCAATGTAATTGTTTCTTAAAAGACTTATAATAATTCAAGGGTGGCGCTTATAATAAGTACAGAAATCTCAGGGGGGGGCGCTTCTAATCGAGGTCCGGCCATAAGCGCCATGCTCCAGATAGAGGCACCGGCGCCTATAATCGGACGGCGCCTATATCCGAGGCGATACGGTAGACCTGCGTATGTGTTGATTCTGATCTGACCAGTCTTAACAACTCAAAGGCTCAGTACGGTACTACGAATGTAGCCTATGTGGTGAATGGTCCTTCGGAAGATTCAGCAAAGAAGACAAGATATCCCAGGTAGCACACAAACATCTGTAACATTTTCCGATCAAACAATCCTTCTACGGACAAAAAGTAGATTCCATTGTACAACATACCAGGAAGCACACACACTGGTACCGTAATCCCATTTCTAGTACCTAGGTGAACCAGCCAACCATCAGGCAAATAGGTTCCTAGCCTCCGAGCAACCGCATGCAGTTGCTCGCACCTCTGCTCCACCAACCCCCACCGATCCGATGTCCCTCTGGCGCTGCCAGGCAGCTTGAGCCTCCTTGCTCCCTGCCCATCCAACTAGGGTCGCCCCTTCTTCACCTTTCCACCACCCGCCCCTTCATGGTGGAAATGGACAGGAGGGGAGAATATGGGAGGACAACAGGAGGGGGGAAATGGGAGGGCAACGGAAGGGGGCAAATGGAGGGCAGGCAAAAAGCGTAAGACGTGAGATGAGACAGAAAGATGGTAGAGCCCGCCAGTGCAGAGCCTGCCAGTGCAGAGCCTGCCAGTGCAGAGCCCGCTCCTCTTAGTGCAGCCGGCGTCACACTGGCACAGTGGCACATACACAACAAGTTGATTCATTCTTGTTGGCAAGCACACAACAAACAGCAAGGCACCTACGAGGAGGAGCAGCGCGGCAGAGCTTCTTGGCTGAGTTGAACACGAGGCCCTCGGGGCACTGGCACTGCTGCTAGCCGTCCTTCACAACGCACTCAGCAGCTCCACAATCCTTGTGACACGTGGCTGTTGTGGGCACCACAGAGGGACAAACAACGGAGCGATTAGACACAAGGGGACAGTAGGGAAGACGTTCTGGCACAGGGAGGCGAAGATGAGAGCTGTGTGGAAGAGGTTGGGTGTGTGTCTTGCTCTCTTAATGTATCTCCCCACAGTCGTTGAGTGTGTCAGAATGAGCAAAACACATGTTAGCGTGCTTGCATATTCTCTAATACGCACATGACACACTTACGGTAACATGATGTTAAACATAGTACGTATGTGCACGCGCTCGCACTTACTGATCTTGCAGCCAAGTGATAGCGGTAGTTTGGTTGCTTTGACAGGCCTGAGAGAGGATGGGGAAGACAAACAATGAGGACGAATCATGACTGCCACTCCACTCACACTACAAAAGCCAAGCAAACTCAGGTGATCGAAGAGCGTCCACCACGAGCTAGAAGCACAACGGACTAAAGCACACTTCACGTGGCATGCATCACATCACACTCACACACCGTGTCGTGGCGGGGTAGGAGCGGCCCTTCCTCGCAGGGCGTGCCATCGTGAGGAGCGGCTGGCCCTTGCAGCCCAGGGCGGAGTAGAACGACAGGCTCTTGCACATGCCGTTGCCAGCCCCGAACACATTCGGGTCATCCCACATGACGGTGATCTTGGTGTCGCCGCTGCTGGCGCTCACACCGGCACACCTAGTGGTGCCGCTGACCTGCTCTGCCGGTGCTGAGGTGAAGAGGGTGAGGCGCTGCTTCGGTTGGTTGCGCCCACTCAGCTGCACCGTCGTTCGCAGCGCGGACGCTGAGTGGCCGTTGATTTGTGTTGAGACAGTTGGCGCAATTATTGATTGATGTGACAATGATGGGGGTTTGAAGACATTGGGGCAGGAGACAGGACAGTGTGATGAAGAGGAAGAGGGCAGGCAGGGGGGAAGGTGCGGGAGGAGTGAGGAGACTAAAAAAGGTTAGGAATAACTCTAAGCAATGTCTGCAGAAATCTGTTCCTGTGACGATGTGTATCGACTACTGCTCAGCAGTGCAGCACTCACCAAAGCACGTCTTGTCCGCCTCCTTGAAGAAAAGATTAGGGTCGTTGCAGTCGCACCAGGGAGAATCACCATATGCCACGCAGGAAGCATCAGGGCCACAATCCAGGCGGGTCACGACACACGGGTCTGCAGAGGAAGTCATGGGCGGGTTTGAGACGCGGTGAGACGAGGTGAGAAGGGCAATGGGCGTTAACAAATGGAACTCCTGCTTATGGTTGTGAACTCACTCACGCGTGCACTCACCCACACACGCACACACACTCACCCCCACTCGCACACTCACCCCCACTCCTATTGGCTAGGGGGAAGGGAGAAGGATAATGGACGGGAAAAGGCTAAGGAAGAAAAACCAATGATTCACTTCTGACTGCCCGAGAGCACAACTCACTGATAATAGTCAGCCACTCAGTCGATACCACATTTGACTCACTCCCTTGCCATACATGCACTCGCTCTCTCTCCATCCACCACTCACCGTAGCATGTCTTGTCCGTTTCGTTGAAGGCTCTGTTATCATTGCACACGCAATCAGGAGGGCTGTTGGGACCGGGACGCTTGTGCAGGCAAGAAGCATCTGGCCCGCAATCCTTTTTGGAACACGAGTCTGCATGGGAATTCGTTGAGGGGAAGTGGGGTGAATTTTTTTGGGGGGGGGGGGGGAGGAGGGGGGGGGGTGGGGGGAAATGGTTTCTTATGACCACGCGCTCACCCACGCTCGCCAACTCGCACACTGAGCGATAGAGCAAGAGGCGAGAATGACGTACGCGAGAAGCAAGAACGATAGAAAAACAGGGTGAGTGTGAGATGCATGCGGGGGGGAAGCGAGGGAGGAGAATAAAGGAGGGGGGAAGGCTACGAAGGAAGAAAGAAAGGGCTCACTTCTAGCGCAACAGTTAAGTCTGGCTTGGGGACTCTTTCCTTCTGATTGGGTGAGAGCATATTTACATGCGCTCACCAGTAATATTCTGCCAGACAGCCGATACCACATTTGACTCACTCCCATGCCATACATCCACTTACTCACTCTCAACCACTCACCATAGCATGTCTTGTCCGTTGCGTTGAAGGCAGTGCCATCCTCGCACCAGCAGTCAGGATTGCCATCAGGTTTCACAATGCAGTAAGCACTGGGCCCGCAATCAACGGTGGCGCACACACCTGCAGAGGGGGTGCGTGGTCGTTCCGAAGGAATTACAGCCGGGCAAGAGGTTTGAAAACAAAACAAAACAAAACTTAAGACCTACGAACCTTCTAGTTCAAGATGCTAGAACGTGAGAAAGAGGAGGAGCGACGCAAGCCGATTAGGAGCAAAGGTGTGATAACGACGATGGTGGGACGCATGAGGGAGGAAGAGGGTGGGGAGCACGAGCGAGCACCCCTTGGATTGGTTCGGTGGGTGCCACCAAGTGCGCGCCAGTGGTGCGCGGCGCCGTCAGTGCTCACCATCTTCAACGGCGCTGGCGTGGGTCGCGAGGAAGCTGATGGCAACGACACCGGCGACGAGTGCGGCGAGGCCACACAGGCCGGACAGGCGCGCGCAGGGCTTCATCGCGCAGGGAGTCGGCGCGGGGAAACGGGAAGTTGGGGTTTTTGAGGCGCGTCAAAAGGCGGCCCGAGGAAACGTGAACCCTGGGATCACGATGACGTCGCGATGGCGAGAAGCTTCAGGCCCGAGTTGAACCGCCGGGATGGGACTGACGTCGCTGGTAGCCTTGGGTCGCGACGATGTGAGATTGGGTGAGACCTTGAAGGTGCGACTGAGAAGGGAGGAATCGAAGGCGCGCAATGAGCGAGGAGCGGTGGGAGAATGTGAGTGAGCCCTCGGGAGCGAGCGTCGGAATTATGTTGAGAGCGAGTGGTCAATCGCACATTTTGAATATAGTTCCTACAGATTGACCCGTGGATCGTCGCAGAAGAAGGCGAGGCGGGGTGGGGGTGAGGGGGGCGAGAGGAAGCTCAGGGGGATCCGCGCTGCGCCGAGGCCCGGAAACACGCATTCGGTCGACCTTAGGACTAGGCGATGATGGCGTTGGAGCAGCGCGAAGGTCGATCGGGGGTGTGGCGACTGTCGTCATGACGGGCACAAGGGGGAGGAACGCGAATGGATGGACGAGGGGACGGCGATGACGGGAGGAAAGAGTTGCGCCAGCTAGCGGCTAATCCCAATGGACACAGGCGGGAATCAAACTCCGTGGCGGGGCGCAAGGCAGAGAAGTTTCTGCCTCTAACATCAGTAGCTTGAGTTGGGAGAACTGCGGGACTTGCGGAGAGTGATTCCTCCCGATTCGTTTCAGTGGTAGTCGAAGAATGGTTCGAGGGGGGTCATTCAAAACGGAGTTCGCTTAACGTGGTTGAAAACGGTTAATTACGTTTGGGCGCGGTTTTAAACTCTAACCGCTTTAGACCATTTCGCACCGAGATGAACCATTCAAAAGAAAGTTGGAACGCGTTCGGCAACGTGTACCCTACATTTTTATCCATTTAACGTTAATGACCGTATTCAACCACGTCAAGAGAACCCCGAACAAACAGAGAGAGTTTTCTTAGGGTAGTGACTGTTCAGGTCGGTATCTAGCGGCTCAGAGCGGTGAAGCAAGACAACCGCTGTAGAATGCACACCAACTCAGCCAACGGGCCTGAAGAACGCGTTCGTTCAACAAATAAATCACTCTCCGCAAGTCCCGCAACCTTGCAACTCTGGAGTACCGGAGCGCGCTGCTGGTACTAGAGGCGAAAGGTTCCCCTTGCGTCCCGCGACAAAGATTCCCCCGCTTCCATTGGGATTAGCTGCCTAAACGCGTTCACTAGCCGCTAGCTGGCGCCTTCCAACGCTAATCCCGTCATCGCCGTCCCCTCGTCCGTCCATTCGCGTTCCTCCCCCTTGTGCCCATCATGGCGAAAGACCGCACACCCCCGATCGACTCCTTCGCGCTGCCCCAACACCATCATCGCCTCGTCCTAATGTTTCCGGGCCTCGGCAGCGCCCATCCCCCTGAGTTTCCTCCCCACTCCCTTCCTCCTTCCGCGGCGAAACGTTATAGGATCCGCGAATCAAATACTAGGACTAATAAATCAGAATTTGCGACTGACCTCTCGCTCTCAACGCATAGTGAATCGACGCCCACGAGCGCTCAATCACATTCTCCCACCGCTCCTCGTTCACTGCGCGCCTTCGTCTCTTCTCTTCTCGATCGAGGTCCCACCCAATTCACCTCGTCGCGACTAGTACCAGCGGCGTGAGTCTCGGCGGTTCAACTCGGATCGGAACCTTCTCGACATTCCACCGTCATCACGATCCGCGCCTCCCCGCCTTCCCGTTTCCCCGCGCCGTCCGCTGTCGCCATGAAGCCCTGCGCGCGCCTGTCCGGCCTGTGTGGCCTCGCCGCACTCGTCGCGGGTGTCGTTGCCATCAGCTTCCTCGCGACCCACGCCAGCGCCAGCGCTGTTAATGGTGAGTAGGCTGACTGCCACACACCACTGGCAATAGGATTGTAGTGCGCGTGGATGAGTGCTGGCGTGTGGGGGAGAATCATAAGCAGAATCTACCTTGTTTTAACTCCGTGCTGGAGTGTGTGCCTCTTGCTCCTACTTGCAACAATCACGACTTCTGTGCAGATCTGTGTGCCATGAAGGATTGCGGCGAAGCTACCTGCACTTTTGATGTAGACCTTGGGATCATTTGCGTGTGCAAGGGTGGTTTCGAATTCGACAAAGACCACAAGACGTGTGTGGGTGAGTACCGGAGTGTGGGTGAGTGCACAATCATAAGCAAAATATATATTGTTTTTACTCCCTTTCCCTACCTTGCTTCTGTGCTGTTATGTGCGCCAATTTGTCCTTACTTGACTCAATCGCGATTTCTGTGCAGATCCGTGTCCCAAGACGGATTGCGGGGAAGCTACCTGCATCTTTGATTCAGAGTCTGAATGGCCCGAGTGCGTGTGCAAGGATGGTCTTGTATTCGACGATACCCGCAAGACGTGTGTGGGTGAGTGCTTGTGTGTGGGTGAGTGCTGGAGTGTGGGTGTGAGTAGCGACTGACTGGCACACACCACTTGTACTGCTGGAGTGTGGGTGTATAACACCTCGCTACCCACTGGGTCAAAACGAGGGTGCTATTAGCGCAGCAGAATGCCCTTAACACAACCCACAGGCGGTATAGGGTGAGTGCACAATAATAAACCGAATCTATCTTGCAACAGAATATATCCCTACTTCTAACTCCCCTTCCCTATTTTGCCTCGGTTGGTGCGTGTGCCGCTTTTCCCCTACTTGGAAACGATCCACGAGTTCTGTGCAGTCGCGTGTAGCACGGACAAGGATTGTGGGGACGATGCTGTCTGCGAGCAGAATATGTCTGGCCTCCATTGCAAGTGCTATCCTGGTTTTTTCATCAAAGTCAACAAGACGTGTGTGGGTGAGTGTGCGTGTGTGGGTGAGTGTGTGCGTATGTAGGTGGGTGTGGGCGTTTCTAGGTGAATGAATGTGTGCGTGAGTCGTGATCACTATGCCGACATCTGTCGGGCATGAATGTGTGCGTGAGTCGTGTCTCCTGCGCGCGCCTGTCCGGCCTGATGATGGAACACCATGGCGACCACCATGGCGCCCACCATGGCGCCCACCATGGCGCCCACCATGGCACCCACCATGGCGCCCACCCAAGGGATGCTCGCTCCTGCTTTGTACCCTCTTCCTCCCTCACCATGCTTCTCACCCTTTGCTCCAAATCGACTTGTTTCCCTCCCCTTGTTTCTCACGCTCGATCTAACTGTGTGCTTGAACCAAAAGTTTCGTGGGCGAGTGCAACGTCAATGACTCTCATTTCTGCATTGAAACGTGCATGGATTCGCTCTGCAGACCTGTGTGCCACCACTGATTGCGGGCCAAGTGCTTACTGCTTTGAGGGCGATTATGGCATTCCTGAATGCGCTTGCAAAGATGGTTCTGAATTCAACGAAACGGACAAGACGTGCTACGGTGAGTGGTGGTGAGCGAGTGAGTGCAAATGATTGAGTCAAATGTGGTATCGCCTGACTGCCTGCATATTGTCTATGAGCTGGCCTCACACATTCAGGAATAGAGTCCTTAAGTCAAACTCAGCTGTTGCTGCACGAGTTGAGCCTTTTTCTTTCTTCCTTCAGAGCCTTCTCCCTCCTTTCTTCTCCTCCCTCGCTTCCTACGCGCATGCTCACCCTCATCACTTTCACCCTCATCATTTTCACCCTCTTTTTCCGAGTGCTCTTGCTTCTCGCCTCTTGTTCTCACGCTCAGTGTGCCGTGAACTAAAGGGTTCGTGGCCAAGTGCGCGAGTGTGGGCAGTTGGCTGACTGCCACACACCGCAGGCAGTAGGCTTGTAGTGCTGGCGTGTGGATGAGTGGTGGAGTGTGGGTGAGTGCACAATCATAAGCAGAATCTATCTTGTCTTAACTCCCGTTCCCTACCTTGCTTCTGTGCTGGTGTGTGTGCAATTTTGCCCTTACTTGCAACAATCACGATTTCTGTGCAGATCTGTGTGCCACGGGGTATTGTGGCGAAGCTAACTGCATTAAAGATGATCGTGGCTATACGCAGTGCGTGTGCAAGGATGGTTTTGTATTCGACGACCACAACAAGATGTGTGTGGGTGAGTGCTGGTGTGTGGGTGAGTGCTGGTGTGTGGGTGTGTGCTGGAGTGTGGGTGACTGCGCGTGTGTGGGTGAGTTTACACTTCACAATCATCAGCAACAGTTCCGCTTTCAACCCGCTTTTAATTCACCTCGGAACCACTCACCACATCCTCTGCAGACCCGTGTGTCGGCGTGGAGTGTGGACCAGAGGCGTCCTGCGTTGCTCTAGGTGACATTCGCTCCTATCGGTGCGTTTGCAACAAGAAAGGTCATGGGCTCCTCGAAGACATGACGTGCTATGGTGAGTGCATCACTGGTGAGTGCATCACTGGTGAGCTGTAGACACTACAATTCTTGAGACACTCGCATTTCAGCATCTCAGCATTTCAGCATTTCAGCATGTCAACAGACACTGATAGGTACCGCTGAGAGGCAACGCTTGGAACATTCGCCCCTCCTCACTCCTCCCGCACATTCCCTCCTCTCTGCCCCCTTCCTCTCCTCCCCCCTGTCCTGCTCCAACTCGACGCCTTCAAACCCCCATCGTCGTAACGCAACCTTGATCAACCATCCATCGTCGCACCAACCATCGCATCAACGGTGTCAACGGCCGGTCAGCCCCTGTGGTGCGGACATCGATAATAAATCTATGGGGCACTGATCAATTGGGTGGCCGGTCGGACGCCAACTTCTTTTCACAGCAGCGTCCAAAGCAGGGCTCCATCGTGTGCACGGGCATGTGGATCTCCGATGGCGACAGGATCACCGTCGTGTGGAATGCCACCGCCCGGCATACGTACGTGTGGACCGCAGGCTACAGCAGGGACGACAACTACGGGCCTGGCAATGCCATGTGCAAAAGGTTGTTGTTTTACAGCGGCGACGACTGCACGGGGAAGCTGGGCTTCACATTCGGACGTCCTGCGAAGAAGGGCAGCAGTTCCTTCCCAACCACGAAAAAGTGAGTGCGCGTGATGCACACATGTGGTTTGTTCCGGTGTGCGCGCTTCCAGCACACAGTACAGCACTCTCGTATCACCACAAATCTGCTTGACCGTCGTCGTGGTTATCGGAACTCGCCCTCATCTTTGGTCTTCCCTATTCTTGCCTCTACCTCTCTCAGGACTATGAAAGGAATCGCTGAAGTGAGATCAGTTGGATGCGAGATCAGTAAGTGCGAGCGCATGCACGTGATACTAAGGTTTCTAAGCACACTAACACGTTCTTTGCTCATTCGGACAAAATTGATGGCACGGGAAAGTTACTATGAGATAGAGCAAGACACACACGCAACCTGTTTTTCTGAGACTCTTTTTTGTTTTCGTCCTTATTCCTGAAAAGATATCCCTTTTCTCTACATGCTTGGGTTTCTTGTCTCTCTGTGGTGCCCACAACAGCCATGTGTGAGAATGATTGTGGAAGTGCACAGTGCGTTGTGAAGGAGGGCCAGCCGCAGTGCCAGTGCCCCGAGGGCCTCGTGTTCAACGCCGCTAAGAAGCTCTGCCTCGACCCGTCCCTTGCTCCTCGTCGTAGGTGCCTTGCTGTTTGTTGCATGCTTGCCAACAAGAAAGAATCAACCTTGCTGTTTGTTGCATATTTGCCAGTGTGCCACCTGCCACACCAAGAGGAGCGGGCTCTGCCTTGGCTGGCTCTACCATCTTTCAGTATCATCTCACGCCTTACCCTGTGGCCTGCCCTCCATTTACTATCCCCTCCCATTGCATCCATGAATTGATCTGACCATTTCCACCATGAAGGGGCTGGTGGGCAAGCCAAGAAAGGGTCACCCTAGTTGGATGGGCAGGGGGCAAGGAGGCGCAGCTGGCTGGCAGCGCCAGAGGGACGTCGGAGCGGCGGGGGATGATGGAGCAGCCCCCGCCGCGGTTGCTCGGAGGAGAGAAACCAATTTGGCTGCCGGTTGGATGCCGTTTACGTCGTGTGTGGTAGTTCGAGGATTCAGAATTTGAGTGTGTGTGCTTGCCTTCTGGTATGTTGAATTATATTTGCATATCCTGTTATAACTGCCTACAGCTTGCTAGTGTATTAGTTGGATATTAGGTTCAACTGCTGGTGGTGTACCCTTTTCCCCTTCCTCTCCTTCCTATTTGTACTCCCAACTTCATAATGAAAGCCTCTCTTTTGGCCAAACTTCTCCCTCCATGATTCTCCTTGCTAAACCTCTCCTAAACCTAAGTACTGCATAATCTCCTAATCTTAACATGGTATCATAGCGTGGTCCCTCCTAGGACCTCGTTTTTCATGGGCCCACCAAACCCGCGATCTGCCATGGCGACTTATTGTGCTGCTGGCATGGCTGCTACTGCTAGTAGCGCGAAATCCGCTGCTGGCTCGAAATCCGCTGCTTTTGCAGCACCCGTCGCGCTGCCCCCTTTCGCCTGCCCCGTCGCGCTCTGCCAGTGGCGAGCGTGCCAGCGAGGCGACGGCGGGCGCCAGCGCAAGCGCCAACGGCGGGCGCCAGCGCCAGCGCCAACGGCGGGCGCCAACGGCGGTCGCCAGCGCCAGCGCGGACGCCAGCGCCGACGGCGGGCGCCAGCGCCAGCGCCAAGGGCGGGCGCCAGCGCCAGCGCGACGCCAGCGCCCAGCGCCAGCACTTCCGGCAGCGCCAGCGCATGGGGGGGAGGGGGATGAGGGGGTGGCGGGAGAGCTTCTGCCGCGCCAGCCACCTCCTCTCCTCTCCTCTCCTCTCCTCTCCTCTCCTCTCCTCTCCTCCTCCTCTTCTCCTCTCCTCTCCTCTCCTCTCCTCTCCTCTCCTCTCCTCTCCTCTTCTCCTCCAGCCGCATCTCCTCCTCCTCTCTCCTCTCCTCTCCTCCAGCCGCATCTCCTCCTCCATTCTCCTCTCCTACAGCCGCATCTCCTCCTCCTCTCTCCTCTCCTCCAGCCGCCTCTCCTCTGCTCTCCTCCTGTGCACCACCACCAGCTTCCTCCTCCTCACCAACAGTTGTGTTTGCTCGTAGATGGCGAGCGAACGGCATCCTTCGCCCTCCGGCTATCCCAGCCCTCCTCCGCGCTCTCCGCGCCCTCCTCCGTCCTGGCATTCACAGGTGCTGCCGGTCAGCCACCGCTGTTTCTGTGCCTATCCCAGCTACAGCAACCGCTCTCCAGGCGACCTGGTGCCAGACACCACTAGCTATAGCCGTAGGCAGTTACGGGGGTGTGTTGAATTATATTTGCATATCCTGTTATAACTGCCTACAGCTTGCTAGTGTATTAGTTGGATATTAGGTTCAACTGCTGGTGGTGTACCCTTTTCCCCTTCCTCTCCTTCCTATTTGTTCTCCCAACTTCATAATGAAAGCCTCTCTTTTGGCCAAACTTCTCCCTCCATGATTCTCCTTGCTAAACCTCTCCTAAACCTAAGTACTGCATAATCTCCTAATCTTAACAGGTGTCTACGTTCAGTTTCAGACAGATTGTTACAGTAGCTTTGAAAAACTAATGAAAGTATCAGGAGGATGTGGTAGCTTTTCTGTACCGTCTTTTGCACTGCAATCCACGCTTCTCCTACCGTCATCGCCCGGATATAAGACATATATGTCTTATCTTATACATAAGGAAAAAGCTTGTTGTGTCTTGTATTTGGGACGGTTTAGGGTGTCATATAATTCTTATAAATAGACAAAAATCGTATGAACCCTGTAACATTGACAAAGTGTGTAGAAACCACTCAAGGGGTGGATTCATTGAATTCGGCCGCACATTGACGGTGATGCATGCGTCGCCACCCCGTGCCACGTGATGGAACGCAACAATGCTGCTTGTGATGGCAGCATCCCGCCCCGCTGTCGTTTTGCTGCCAGCAGTGACCAAAGGCTTCTAGAACGCTTCCAGCAGCATGCTGGCAGCATGCTGCCATCACGAGCTGTCCTCTACGAGGACATTACTCGTAGAGGAGCGGCTCGTCTTCCACAGGAGGGGGCACTCTGGCTGGGGGGGTAGTCGGGCTTGAGCTTCATTTTGAGCTCATAGAACTCAAAATTAGCTCAACCTTTGCTCTAAGCAGGCTCTATCATGCGTAGTAAGAGCACCCTGCAAGCGCGTCGTCTCCTCTCCCTAACCTCCAGGTTACCAACTATGGGCGCATCAACTCGCCCAGTGACGACATCCGTGTAGCTATGGCGAAAGAGGATCGACAGGCGGCGGGATGCTCTAACGCTGGCTCATGAGCGAGCTGTGACGAGGACGAAGGCGACGAAGACCATGGCGACGAGGGCGAAGAGGATTGGCCGGAGAACGGTCACCACGACGGCAGCGCATCGGGTGACGAAGACGTGCCTGCAGGCGGCATCGACGATGACGACTGGTGGACGCGACCGATCAGCTCCGGCGACGAAGTGGAAGAGGTGCGCTGGTGACGATGACAACAACGGAGGCGCGGATGCGGTTGCTGATGCAGGCAGACGGCCAAGCACGCATGGCGAGTGCCAAACTTGGGGGTGCAGGAGCCTGCATCTGCTAGTGCAGATGAGGAGGGCGTTACCGAGGGGGGCTAGGTAGAATAGCAATGGATAAATGTATGCATGTACCCCCCCCGATGAATGCAAGAAGAACCATTTAAAAGACACCCCCCTCTTTATAAGAAAACCCCTGAACCCTAGTACTTTTTACAAGACACTGTCTTAACTCGTACACGCATGTAGGTGCCTTATAATCAGGAGCACCCAACTATAAGATACACCCGTTTTAAAGACACCCCGTGTCTTCAATTAGACTCTGTCTTATATCCGGGCGATGACGGTAATGCAAGCAGTACCATTCTCTCTAAGTCTGGGAGTTGCTGAAGATTGATCCGATGCGGTACATACAAGGTCTCATATTGGTTTTGGGGTATTCGTGTCAGAATGTGATGTTTGTGTAGCCTGCAGTGGGGTACTCTGTAGCGAGTACAGCCCGAATTAGGGTTTGCTATATGTACTTAACTGCATGCTAGTGAAAACCCCTTCTTTCCTGTTTATCGTTTTAGCCTGCTGTTTCGACATGCTATCAGAGCAGGTCGACCCTCCTGGGTCGATCCTGTGGGTGGTCCCGCCCAATGCTTCCGCTGCGGTTTCCTACTGTCCCCTGCCTGCCGCGCGCTCCGGGCGCGCGGCGATTTTTCATCCCGCCGCGCGCTCGGGGCGCGCGGCGGTTTCCTGCCCCGTCGAACCGCGCGTCGCCCCCCGTCGCCCGACGCGGCCCGCGCGACCTGCGCCAGGCCCGCGCGCGGCCCTTCCAGCCCACGCGCGGCCCGTACGGCCTGCGCCAGGCCCGCGCGCGGCCCGTACGGACTGCGCCAGGCCCGCGCGCGGCCCTGGCAGCCCGCGCGCGGTTCGTCCCCCGAGCTTCTGGCCGCGCCCCACCCCCGCTGCTGCCCGCGCTCCTGTGTTAGGGTTTCGGGGTGGGGAGTATGGGGGTGACAGGTGTGTGCGGCCTTCCCTGCTCCTCCTCCTCCTCTGTCTCCCGCTGCTGCAGCTGCCGCTGAGGGGGGTGGATGTGTGGGAGCCGCTGGAGTGGTACGAGGGGGGTGGCGTGTGAGGAGTGCTAGGGGCACAGTAGGGAGTGTGTGAAAGGGGTGTGAGACAGTTGGGGGAGGTTGACAGGAGGTGGCCGTTGTGACGTCTGCAGCGCCAGTAGTCCGGGGGTTGAGTACTCCGGTAGCCCAGCGAGCCTGCTGTTGCCAGTCGCCCGCGGGTCTGTTGCTCCTGCTGCTGCTTAGCGCGGAGCCAGTTACTCCTGTAGTCTGGAGGTTGAGTGCTCCGGTAGCCACCGTGCGCGCCGTTCCTGTTGCCCGTGTGTCTGCGGCTTCACCCGTCGCCTTCTATCTTTACTCCTCTCACAGTCTCTCCTCCTCCTCACTTGCCCTCTGTGACTGCCTCTAGCTTTGCTTATCATTGTGAACTATTGCTCTATGACTGCTTGTTGTGTTGATTGTACCCCACTTTGACTATGGGGGTGTGTTAGAATGGGATGTTTGTGTAGCCTGCAGTGGGGTACTCTGTAGCGAGTACAGCCCGAATTAGGGTTTGCTATATGTACTCAATTGCATGCTAGTGAAAACCCCTTCTTTCCTGTTTATCGTTTTGGCCTGCTGTTTCGACAATTCGAGCACTCAGTGTCCCTAGGAGGTGTTGTCAGAATGAGAGTACAGCGGAATGGTTCGTGACTAGCAGCAATGGGATACAAGTGCTCAACCCTAAAAGGGTTGTACCCTATATGGGCTACCCCACTACAGCCTACACGCATATAAATGCATTTTGACACAAGAACAACCACCGGTAACAAGACCAGTCAAGCAAAAAAACAAAGCAAAGCAAAGCTCAGGGTGGATCTCAAGACCACCACACAGTCTGAGCACAAGCAAGAGGCCACAAGGCCAGTTCACGTGCAGAGTTATAAAAACACAAGCAGTACAGTGATCACAGCCTAGCAAGAGAATGAATGCAGGTATATATGTACATATATATATTTATATATATAACAGTACAATGCAAAGTCAAGCAGTAAGCAAGTGAGGCAGAGTAGGCACAAGGCCTAGAGTAGTGCAGAAACGCTGATGATCACCAGACACAAGAGCCTTGGTGAAAATACCAGCAGTGTTGGCCCGTGAGGCCGGTAAGCAAGGCGCAGCTGACCTCGTTGCTGCAACTCTCGAGCGAGGAAGTAACGGGGAGCAATGTGCTTCGTTCTGTGCTCGAGTCTCTGCTCCTCACACAGGGCAATCATAGCCTTTTCAATCGACGTACAGATCCGGAGGAAAACGAGGCCGCTCGCCCAAGTCAGTCAGCAAGTAGGTCAGCCAGCGTAACTCCCGTGCAGCCATAGCCCCAGCGTAGATCTTTGCCTCACAGCTGGAACTAAGTACAGAAGACGAGTGGACCTCCACGAGACAGAACCAGTGCCGAGACTGAAGGAGTAACCCTGTGACGACCGCAGCGTCGCCTGGTCGTCAG